AAAAACCCCTCTAGGTGGACGTAGGAGCGGGCTACCTGGGGCTTTCTCTCAACAGTGGAAGAAGTCTTCGCACTTCATTGGACAGCTGCTGCCCACCCAAGCTGGGCAGCCCCTAGCGAATAAGGTGCTGTCCCATCCACGTTCCGCTCGTCTCATTGGGTGCCTGGGGCTAAGGGCCGATCTCGAACGGCGGACCGATAACCAACGCATCAGCGAACAACATAACTAATCGATATTAAAAGGCCTTGCGTGACAGGTCTCCAGAAGTTCCCACACGGGTGCTTCGTTCACGCTCCCGCGTTGAATTTACGCCCCACTGCCCTGTGGGTCAGACTTTTGAGTCAAAGGCTCCGGTTAGGGTTCCCAAAGAAAACCCCTTTCGTCGGTGTGGGCTGCCGTGAAGTATGCCGTACCCTAAAGTCTTAGATACCCATTTGGAAAACCATCTTTCTCATCTGTCTAATCCTTCTCGATTCCGAATATTCCCATGTGCCTCCTGTTTGCGATACTCATCGCATATCACTCAGCGTTCAACTAATAAGGTCAACCCCTCAGAGGCTGCCAGATTTTTGAAACCAAAATCCTCTTTTCACTTAGCTGCACTCAATGTCCGCGCACTCTATCAGATTGGTAAACAAGCCGCCGTAGCTAGAACCCTTGAAACCTTCCATTTAGACGTATGCTATGTCTCCGAAACACGCATAACAGACCCCACTTTAGTCATCTCACTCCGTTCTCCAGATCCAGTCTCATTCTCATGCTTCACTCTCAGTGTGTCAGGCGATTCGGCATCCGAAGCTCGCGGTGTTGCTTATGTTCTGATTGCACTAAGTGTCAAGGCCCAGCGTTCACTTCTTGATTGGATCCCGGTTAACAGCCGACTGCCCCGTACGTCTGGATGGTTCAGTACGCGTCCACAGCTACATAACTAAGCGTCGATGCTTATTTGTCGTATCCGCGTATGCACCGACAGGTCGCAGTTCACCAGAATTGAAGAATGAATTCTAAAACGATCTCTCTCAACTGCTCCAAAATGCTCGGTCAACGGACATTGTGGTAGTCGCTGGAGACTTCAATGCTCAAGTGGGACCCCTGGACGAATCAGAGAGATTACTTGGCGGTTCGCATGCAATCCCAGCCAACAGGACTGACAACGGAGAACGTCTACTCTAACTTTGTGCTGACCACGGACTGTTTCTGTCAAGCACGAAATTCTCTCATAAAAAACGGCACCGCCTTACATGGAGACCGCCAACTTCTCAGCGCTGGACTCAAATCGACCACATCGCCATCATCCACCGCTGGTGAGGATCCATTGAAGACTGCCGCTCGTACTGGTCAAGAACCGTGTACACGAACCATGCTCTACTACCTGCGAGATTCTTTCTACGCCTGGTAAAAACGCAAAAAAACCGCCGAAAACGGATGCCCACAAAACAGTATCACCGAGAGTTGCAAATTGGCCTTCAAAGCGGAACTATCAGATCGCCTCTCAGCTTCATCATCATCCGGAGGACTCAGTGGTCGGCAATCAAGGAGACGATCCAAACATTGATAGAAACAACGGCAAATTCTGGCGCACGATCAAATAAAAAACGATAGATCTTCCGACCTCGGTTACCCTGCTGGACGCTCGCGGGGCCATTCCTTTTGATTTAAAATACGACAAAACGCGCAAATGCTTTAAACACCAGCTCATCGAGAGTCTGAGGAATGACCACGAGAAGTGGTAGGTAAGGAAGTGCAGAGAGATGAAGAAGACTGCGGCTATCGGTAATAGTCGCAATCTTTTTTGTTTAATTAGGAGGACAGGACCAAGAAAAGCAGGTGTGAGGTAATGAAGGAGTCAGACGGCACACTGATTCAAATTCAGAAACGTTGTCTTGAACGTTGGGCAGAACATTTTAAGGCACAGTTCGGAAGTACGTTAACCTACTGAGGTCACTGTACTCACATACCTCCGAGTCTATAAAGAACTAAGTAGGCTGTTCGTCAACAGCAGCAGCGTTCGTCAAGCGTGCCCTCTTTCGCCATTCCAGTTCAATTTCGTCGTAGACGAAATACTGCAGACCGCACTAAGTGGACTCCAAAACGTAGTTATTGAATGGACAGCTGGAGAAAAGCTATACGATTTGGAGTTCGTCGATGACATCGTCTGTCTGTTCGAATGTATGGAGGACGCGCAAAGTGCGCTTGATAGATTAACAAGTGCAGTGGCCACATTCAGTATGTGCTTGGCACCGCCAAAGTGCAAAGTACTGCTGCAGGACTGGGTTTCGTCTACTCCCACTCTGAGACTAAATGGCCAGGATTTAGTTGTGGTGGATTACTTTTCCTACTTAGGTAGTTGTATATATATATATATATATATATATATATATTTCACACTTGTCTGAGGACAGACTGTGCCAAACAAATCATGGTACAATAGTCTTTATAAAAAGAAAAATGTTCCATGATTGGCTTGTGGGCTGAGTACTGCCAGGTTGCCCAGGC